TCTTCTAGTCTAAATTCTGCTGCATAGGGTATGCATGACAACTGCCAAAGTAGGCTGCTATGTGCCAGCTTAGAGTATACACCCCACACACATGCAAAGTGCATGGTGATTAAAAGGAGGTGAGTGATTTCCACTCATTCTCATAGTTAGAGCCAACCTGTGACAAAGAAGCCGTCACAGGTCGGCTATATCGATCGTGAAGTGAGCAGAAACATACAGCGATCTGCTCACTTCCCGATCGTCTCCCTGCAGTGACCGGTGACTGTTGGTCACCGCTCCCCGCGCCTCCAGAATTGATTGGAGAAACGGATGTGGGAGTGGGCGGCCACAGCTGGCTCTGCCTCTAGACAGGCAGAGCCGGCTGTCACTTACGCAGCTGGGTGGATCCAGACAGTATTGTCGGGGTCCATCCTGAATGCGGCGCTCTCACTAAATAGCAGGCAATAGCCTGTTATATACTGAGCTTTAGGTCATGGGAGGAGGTTAGTATATGTCCTCCTGTGACCCTAAAGAGAACTATGGGGAAAAACACTTACCCCCATAGTTCTATTTTAAAGTAAAATGGTGCAGTGTTATGTTAAATGATCCATACCATTCCACTCTCTGTGGCATTTTATACATTTTGTACATAAAAAGTTCCTGACCATTGTGCGCCACTCTATACATTATATGCTCCTCAGCTCCTAACCACTCTACTGTACCCTATGCACCATGCTATACGTTACATGTTCCCAACTACTAAACTGCACCATGTGAACCATGTTATACGTCACATGCTTTTAACCAATCTACTGCACCATATTGTTACATTATCCTGACCACTGCACTCTGTGTGGCATGCTATACGTTACATGCTCTTAACCACTGCACTCACTATAGACAGTAGAAGGGATTTTTTTACTGAAGATATGGGTAAACAACGCGATTTAACAGCCTTTGAACGTGGGATGATTGTTGGCGCTCGGAGACATGGTAGTTGATTTACTAACCTTATAAACACACCACGAATGTGTATACACCTCTGCAGTGTGTTCCCTCCCAGCATGATCTATGGGTGGAATCTAAACACCTTTGTAATGTGTACACACCCAGCAGGTGTGTTGTGCAAAGCCCTGAAGGAATTCCAAGGTGATGTTGTGTAAATTAGCTCTATGTTGTGTTGCTTGCGTTGATGAATGCAGGAATGTAAATGCATGAGCTAACCATTTTTGTCTAAACTGTGAAGCAGCATTATATATGCATCATGTGCATGATTTTTCCATATATGGCATTAGTGGAAATATGCTTTTAGAGACTTTTTGGTTGATAAATACGTTTTGCTGTGTGAAAAATCACACACACCTGGTGTGTGTGTGTGTTTAGGTTAGTAAATCACCCCCATGGAGCGAGTATCAGCAAAACAGCAGAATTCGTTAAATGTTCAAGAGCAGCTGTTGTTAAAGTGTTTAAAGACTGGACTGTCAGCCGAAAATCTGGGTCTGAACGTGCGGCTTGTGGCCGTCAGCGATTAGTCAATGTTAGGGCAGAACGGAGAGTGGCAAGACTGGTACCAGATAACAGAAGGGCAACAGTGCATCAAATGACTGCAGATCTTAATCAGGGATCCTCTCAAATGATCTCTGAACGCACTGTTCGCCGTACACTGCATCGTATGGGATATGGAAGCCAAAGGCCTGTTCAAACACCTTTTGCTGTCTGCAGTTAACTATGATCAAGTGGAAGGTAACTATGATCAAGTTCATCCTATCATGTTGATGGCGTATCCCAATGGAGATGGCTTCTTCCAACAAGACAATGGGCCATGCCACGGTGCTCGTATTGTGCAGGAGTGGTTTGAAGAACATGAGGGAGACTTTACCTTGCTTAGGTGGCCCCCACAATCACCAGATCTCAATCCAATTGAGCATTTGTGGGACGAAGTTGAAAGAGCCATCAGGCAGCTGGTTCCACAAACATCAAATCTCACAGAACTTGACAGTGCTATTCATCAGGCATGGTGTCAGATTCCTTGCATTACCTTTCAACATCTCGTGGAGTCAATGCCAACAAGAATCGCCGCAGTATTGAAGGCAAAGGTGGCCCGACGAAGTACTGATGGGGTGGTCATAATAATCTGGCCACTCAGTGTATATCTATGAATGACGCAAGCGGCAGCTGGCCACAATTCAGGATGGCCGAGCGGTGTTCCGATCGGAGCCGCTGTCATCCTGTCAGTTTTTGGATGACAGCGGCTCTGTAGAGTGGCCGAGCGGGGGGATTGTTAAATATTATTGATATTTAACGATCCCTCTGTTTACAGCAAACACCGGAGTGATCGTCTGATTTACATCACAGCCTGTTCATTCAAGAATTTATGAATGGGGACTAGCACTCACTACAGAGGCTCCTCCCCATTCAGAAACTAATATTTTTACTATCATTAGTTTGTGAATGAATGAGAAGCCTCTGTACTGAGTGCTTCCCATTCATTGAGTGCTGGGGCTGCAGAAAAAGAAATTGAGGACTCCATGTCCTCAATTTCTTTTTCTATTTCAAAAGGGTACAAGTCAACAGTAAAAAAAAAATTAGAAAATGTAAAAAAAAAAATAATTACAGTTTCGCGTACCGTAATTTTTTTACCTTTTTGCAAAAAGGCGCAATTTCAAATTTGCAAATATTTGTTATTTATTAACTCAATACAGTTTTATTAATTGAATTGTATATTTTTATTGGTTTAATATTAATTTGAGAAACATTTGCGCAATTATCGCAGGGCCTACAAATTTAGTATCACCATCTATTTATTCTACCGGGCCTGCGCTTTCAGAAAATATATGGTTTGGGGGATCTTTTACAAACACTAGCAACGCAGCAGGTGAAAATCAAATCAATAGGAAAAATTGCCGGCATCTGGAGCCTCTCATCTCTGCCTGGAGCCGCTCAAGGAAGGGATCTGTGACTCCATGGATCCCCGCTGCTATCCCCAGCTTGTAGGGGCTGTGGCAACGGGGTGGGGCGGAGGAGCAAGCGTCGGCTGATGGGGAGAAGCCACAAGTTTCAGGATGGCTGAGTGGTGAGAACGGAGCCGCTGTCATCATGTCAGTTTCCAGATGACAGCGGCTCTGTGCGTGGCCGAGCGGAGGATCGATAAGTATCATTGATATTTACCGATCCTCTGTGCAGCACAAACACCGGAGTGATCGTGTGATCACTCCAGTGTTTGTAAATAACTGGGGACACATAGGGGGTTATTCACAAAGCTGCCGAAGGCAGCCGTGTGAATAACCAACCCGAAGTGAAGTGAGCCGAACGCCATTCGGCTATTCACTTCAGGCTTGTACAGCTGATTTCAGCCGGACACCGACTGAAATCAGCCGTACAACGGCTTGCTGCGGCTGGGTTCGGGTCGGCCGAAGTGCAGAAGGAGTTTGACTCAGCTAATCCAACATCTGGATCGGCTTAGCCGAACCTCCGGCAGGCTACTCGTTGCTGTTCGGCCTATTCTCATAGGGCCCAAACAGCAGTGAGTGAATAGCCGAATGCCGGAGAGCGCCCTTCGGCTCAGTTATTCTATTCTGCTCGGTACCTCTGTGGTACCGAGCAGAATAGAAAAAGTAGAGAAAAATGAGAAAATGATTGGGCGGAGCTAGCAGTGACAGCTAGCTCCGCCAAACTTTTTCTATTGCACGGGACCAGTTGTCATTAAAATGAGAGCTTGTCGGAACCGGCGGTCATATCAAAGCCGGCTCCGACAAGCTCTCATGACAGTCCAGGGCGCCTGGTTACTAGGTAACCAGGAGATGCTGAACTGTCATTGCACACTGAGAACCCGGCGGAGCCGCTGGGATATAATGGCGGTTCCGCCAGGTTCTCAGTGTGTAATGGCAGTCCAGCATCCCCTGGTTACTAGGTAACCAGGAGATGCTGAACTGTCATTACACACTGAGAACCCGGCGGAGCCGCCGTGATATCACAGCGGCTCTGCCGGGTTCTCAGTGTAATGACACATCAGCGTCCGTGGTTAGCTGCTAACCAGGGGATGCTGATCTGTCTCTGCATGCAAGTGGCCAGAGCCAACCATGAGATGACGGCCGGCTCCGCCAAGCTGTCAGTAGCAGGTTGTCGGCGGGCCGTTCCAGCTTCGGCTTTCACCTTGGCTCAGTCGAGCTGAAGCATATGCCTTCGGCTCGACTGAGCCGCTCGGCCAACTTCGGGAGCTGTACGGGCTCAAGTGAATAGCCCGTACAGCAAGTATTTTTATCGGTTTAATATTAATTTGAGAAACATTTGCTCAATTATGCAGGGCCTATAAATTTAGTATCACCATCCATTTATTCTACCGGGCCTGCGCTTTCAGAAAATATATGGTTTGGGGGGTCTTTTACAAACGCTAGCAACCCAGCAGTTGAAAATCAAGTCAATAAGAAAAAATTGCAAAAATGGCGTGGCCAGCTGATTTGAAAAATGTTCCGGAGGGCTTGGCAGCGAAAGGGTAAACACTAACAGCTGCTCTTGAACATTTAACGAATTCTGCTGTTTTGCTGATACTTGCTCCATGGCACGAGCGCCAACAATCATCCCACGTTCAAAGGCTGTTAAATCGCGTTGTTCTTCAGCGCAAAATTATAGCTAATTATAGTTAACTTGCCTACAAATGTCAGGTGGTCATAATAATCTGGCCACTCAGCGTATATGTCCTTTTCTCTTATCTTTTGTTTGCATCTTCTGGCCCCAACTGATAATTTCTAAAGTTTTTGTGCTCCCAAACCTACTCTCCTTCAAGCATCTAACTGTATTCAACCTGGTGTCCGCACTTAATTCTCAAGACTGGAAGGCAGTGCTAAAAACAGAATGTTATCAATAGGAGAAGTATGTTTAACAGCTTGGGCAGGGATTTCCTTTTTAGTTACATTACAAGTGCACCATTATTGCCTAGCAGCAAACAAATTGATGAGGTTATCCAAAAAGAGACAGATCTTCTTCAGGTCAAACAATGCTTATAATAAATGAAAGTCTACTACCTTCCATTGCATCGGCTTCCGTTTTATTTTCATTCTCCAACTGTTTAGAAGTCACAACAGTTGCTATTTCTTTCACATCCTCCATCAACACGTCTGTCTTTGCTTTGGCCAAAATATTTTTTAAGTGGGCAAGTTCCTTTGGGGCATTTTTCTTCCTCTTCTCTGCCCTCATTTTCCTTTTCCATTTACTTCTTATACTTTTAGCCATTTTGTCTTCTGAAAAGGTTACAAAAACTGCAGAATTAGTATGCAAATGATCACTATAATCTCATGGAAGTCATGTCAACAACTACCTGTGTGGTCCGTTTAATGTGAACCAGACTTGGCATAACACATTTCTAAGTTAAACAACAATGTTAAAAGTGCAGGCACTTTGTTAGGAATTACAGGCTAACACACGCACTTGAGTCTCTATGGAGCCCCTGAATCCTAGGCTGTACACAAGGCCTTGACTTCTGGCCAAGTTGAAATTAAACCCTGCCCCCTCCTACTACCAAGTCTTTGGCCCTTTTGACTAAGGCCCTTGTCAATCAACTGTCAAATGACAGACCCTCAGAGGGCAGTGCAGGCTTTTTGACAGTTGCATGAAGACACCATGGCTTAGTTGCTGGAAGGGGAGGATTAGAAGTTGAAGGCCCCTGTAAAACCTTGGTTTAGGATCCAAGTGATCTACTTGGATTGATTTAAAGCTTAACCCAGTTACAATCAGGCAACAACCCTTAGAGAAAGTGGTCAGCAGTGGCAGCCAATATATTTTTCTCCAGGCAGGGATCTTTAGAGCACATGTGTCAAACTCAAGGCCCAGGAGCTGACTCCGGCCCACCAGGCCATTTCCTAGACTTCTATTTTCAGATCTAGGTATTAAGTTATTACTAAAACCAGTGATAATCGAATGCAGAGGCAATTATGATAAAGATTAGATACATTTATATAGTCTTACAGGCCCTTTGAGGGCAACCATAATGTTGATGCGGCCCACGATTAAATTGAGTTTGACACCCCTGCTTTAGAGAGTCTCTGTCACTGGGGAAACTGCTACAGGTATAAAGTGCAGACACCTAGAGATGCCTGCAAATGCCACTAGCTGCAGCCAAAAGCCTCCTGTCTCAGCCAAGGCGGTTCTGATAGGCAAAGGTCTGCCTGCACTTTATACCTCAAGCAGTTTTTCCCCCATGGCAGTCTCTTTAATAATGGGAAGGCCTAAAGTCACCAATGCGACCTCAACAGGATCCACAAAGGGTAAACGTGTATCAGCAAAGTTGGATTTCAATGAGCAACAGACCATGATAGTCCACCAAGTGCCTAGTTAACAGTATTTTTATGTTAAAGGCATCAGGGCCAGGCAGAAGAGATGGCTATCTTGGGCACTTTAGCAGGTGGGGGGCACAATATGGGCAAGACTTGTAATCTATACCACTAAGGTAGTTCACAGCTCATGAAAGAGGGTGTACTTTGGCCTTTTTGCCTTGGGTGCTGATGGACCCTGTTCTAACACTGCAAGCATGTATGTCTGTGCTGTATTTTGTACAAATAAATATGGCTTGAAGAACAATGTATTCAGGTGTGACTGATCTGTACCAACTTAAAAGTCCTGAATAATAACACACACCACAAAGTGCCTATTTTATCAGCGTTTCTGAATCTTGTTACAAGGCACCCAAGCACCACTACCATTTCCTATCTAATGAAGCTGCTTCAATGGAGAACTGACCAAGTTGATGGCATTTGGTTGAGCTTAGCCCGAAGTCAGGCTCTATTTACAAAGAAAGACTACATAGAAGGGCACAGACGATGGCTAATACATTTAACAGGCATCTTGAGGTGCCTATGGCTTCAATAACAAACTCTAAAAAAAAAAAAAAAAGCTTCAAAAGAAGAAACTTGAGGGCCCAAAAATACCGGCAGCGAAACTCATACAAATGAAAAGTCTGGCATATTTCACCCACTAGGGAGCCACAAGTTCTGCATACAGCCTCCCATAGAAGTCAATAGTTGTATGTGGCTGTATACGGGTATATGCGTGACTTGCCTAATACCCATGTACAGTGGCTGATTTTAATGGGCTGCTGTACACAGCACCTGTGGCTCCTGGGCGGGAAATACACCCAAATATTACATGTTTTCGAGTTTAGATATGCTTTTAATACTTACCTCTCCAGCTAATGGCGAGTCCTCACTTTGGTCACTTTAAGAGCACAGCCTCCTGCATCTGACCCTTCAGCCACGTTGGGTTCCTTGTCCCACCCCCATGCCCAGTAGTTCGATCTGTTGGCCTCTTTGTCTTTAATATGTCCTTCGGTGACATGGGGGTGGTGAGAGCAACCACAGCAGCAAAAGAAGACAAGGAAATCGACACTCTTGGAAGTGTCAGATTCCTAAGCTTCTTCAGCTAGAGATTTTGATTTTTCTTGACCACAGCAAAGATTGGTGGTGTGGGCAGCAGGAGAGGGGATATTTAATGCCTTCTTTGCAGAGGGCAAGTCAGAGACCCGTAACAGACTAAACAAGAGTCCCACAGAAGACGCTTTTATTGCTAATACATGTACCAACCCTTAGGCAGAACATAAGTTATGTGTGGCAGGATAAAGTCACTATGGGCCATGTCACGCTGGCAATTAAAAAAATGAATAATTGCTGCAAATCACCAATATTTAGGCCCGCTCAAAACTCTTATCCACTCCCTCCTCTTGACCCAATCAATGTCAGCAGTTGCAGCAGGGGTGTTCCCAGCTGCAGTTCGTTTTGAGCAGGCTGGGGGAAAACTGGGCTTACACCAAACCCAGCCTCATCACTATTAGCTATAAATTGCCGTTCAGAACACTTTGCTGCAGCGAACATTAACGTAATGATATAGCAAAAGTTTGACCTATAGCTGTGAAAAATAAGTTCTTAGTAACAAACTGCCAGTGACTACAGTGTTAGCTACAAGTCACAGTTAATCACAGCATTAGCATACCTCTCAAATTTCAGGGATGAGAAAGAGGGACAACCTTGAGCAAAAGGATGTAGGCAGACAACATACCCCTGTTATGCCTCCAGTTATGTGCACCATGAAGAATAGGCAAACAAAAGGTTGCCTAAACCCAAAAATACTTTTACATCACTACTAGGGCTGCAACAACTAATCGACATAATCGATTACAATCGATTATTGAAAAATACTTTTCCTTTTTACTGGCTTTTTAAAATTACAATTCAATCATAAAAAGGTCTATGTGAAAGTTTTAATGACGTATATACCACTTTGGGTAGACTGTATGTAAACCCCGCCAAAGACCTTGTCTTATTTTCTCCCTTTTAGTCTGTTTACTATACCATTAAAAGCATTTTGTTATATCTGGTCTAAAAGTGCAAAAAATACCTGTTGAAAAATCCAGTGAGCTTGTAACTTCCTGTATGCGATGCCTGTGCTGTACTATTACGAGTGAGCAAGGTCATTAGCTGTGCATAGTTAATTATTTGTACTACAGAAAACCTCACTACGTTATGTAAATGAGACAGGGAGGTGCTTTGCAGTCCAAATGGTAAGGAAGCAGCCTAGGGTGACAACACTGCTGCTAAGCGAGTAAGCGTTGTCACCTTTGGACAGGAAGTGCATTACTAGCAGGATAACCAGGTGAAAGGGGAAACAGATTAACTAAATGCAGCCACCACCACCATCGGATGACTAGTAGGATGTCAGTCTTATAAAGGTCAGGTCTATACATTAGTCCAAAACCAATGACAACTGATAAGGAAAGAGGGACAAATGGATTTGGTTGGGACTATGCAGTAACAATTTTAGCAGCACCAGTGTGACACGGCCTTTACCCGAAAGGACCAACCAGTCCTTCTCACTGCCATGAGAAATTGTGCACCTGTAACCTCCTAATAAAAACTCCAATGTATGGTCACTGTGATCAGCCCCAGGATGAAACACGACAACCCCGTATAGCAGCCAAGCTCAGTAACTCACCCGTCCACTTCCTCAGCACATGTGCCCAGGTTGTACAGAGCACCACCCCGGAAGTGACGCACAGAAACCTCTGCTGGGAACACTAGAGAGTATCAACGATGGTGTGTCTGCAGTGACCGTTCGTGATTGCGTCCGTTATATCATTGTTGAATAGTACATTCAACGTGTGCTAACAACAGCAGAAACTAGACAAAAATAAAGGCGTCAGATTGATTTTAATGAAGGTCTTCCAGTAACTGAAAGTGTCGGTCTTCGGGAAAATGGCGGCTATACCGCGACGTGGTCAGGTTACGCAATGCCGCTAGTGCCTCCATGACGATCTCGTTTCCAATTGGCTGCCATTTTTTTCCGTACAGTTTACAGCCTGTTTTGGCTGGGTAGGCAGGTATTTTGTCACGGAAGACATTTGTTATCATGGCGTCTGCTGATCTCTATCCCATGTCTTCTATCGTAGATGACTTCAACTATGGATCCAATGTCGCCTCGGCCAGTATTCAGATCCGTATGGGTGAGCCTTTCTCTGTTTGTTCTATGCAGTGTCCATCTGTGACAGGTATCACGTATTGCAAAAGGATTACGGTACTTAGGCCTGTTATGAATTCTGTCCTAGGCTTTGTAGATTAGACCTTGGATTTTATTTTTTTTGCTGTACTGTAATGGTGTCCACACACTTGTAAAATATTATACAGTACTTAAAGCCTATCTCTGGCCAAACAAAAAAACGGGGCATACCAAAAGGAATGACAGAATGGAATGCCCATAGACTTTGACAGGGAAAGAGAAAGCCCATAGACTTTAATTCAACCAAACGGAATGCCCATAGAGTATAATGAGAAGCAAAGTAAAGGATAATTTGTACGCAAATCTGAAAAAGATATCAAGTTATCCTTTACCGCAGGTCTTCCCCGTGTATACCGTAGTAACATCATTTTACAATTGAAATTACTTTGGGTTTGTCTATGGAATGACACCAAGAATGCCTATAGAGTATAATGGGAAGAAAGATGGGCCTTTTCAATCAACATAATTTGACACATCAAATAAATCTTTAGCAGGCATACAGTACCATTTTTCAACATTGAGATTCCGTGGGTTTTTTATTACCGTATTTTGTGCACCTGACCATAGGACACAGGGAGGGTAGGGTTCTGTGACAGCTGCAGTTAGTGATAGCTGAGACAGGTGGCGCTGTGATTACAGCGCCACGGTCTCAGTGATCACACAGAGCAGACGAAGAACGGACGTATGCTGATGGGCTGATGGACGTATGCTGATGGGCTGATGGACGTATGCTGATGGGTGAATCTCAAATCCCATTGAGATTCTGTGGGATTTGTATTCATTTTCTATGGAATGACAAGGGTCAATGACACCAAGAATGCCCATAGAGTATAATGGAAAGAAAGATGGGCCTTGGAGTCTGTTACAAATAGCATCAAAGTTCCCAGCGTATTACCTATGTCACCAGTGCTCATCAGCGGCCCTTAGACCGCCAAAGCAAAGGGTAGAAGAGGCTGCAGGGATCGGTCTAGCAGCCTAGAGAGAGCCAGCAGGAGCGGGGATCAGGTAAGTAAATGTGCTTCACTCCATCCCCTAGGCAGAAAGAAGCACTTAACCCTTGCAGTGTGGCAGTAGCCCCACTAAAGGGTAGCTTTTTGGTTTGCCTAGAGTTAGGCTTTATAATGTATATACAGTATAGCCAACATTTTTAGGTTTTGGTTAGAAGAGGAAAAGCATAAATCCCTTGTTGGTTAAATTTTTTGCTGTGTCCTGTTGGGGAGATTTCCTTTCCTGGAGATGGGTTGTGCGATTTACACAGCAAACATTCAGCTATCAATAAGGATTAACAGTACACACATAAGGGGGAATTTATCAAACCCGGAGCAAACAAAATCTGGAGCAACCAATCAGCATCCCTCTTCAGTTTGCTCAGGTAAGATTTGAAAGTAAGAGAAAGAAACTGATTGGTTGCAGTGCAAATCTGCTCCAGTTTTGATAACCCCCGCCCAATTGTTTTCAAAGAGGATTCACCCATCAGCATACAACATACTAGACAGGTTCCAAAATCAAATAAGATCTGCCCACCAGCTAACCACATTACACACAGTGTGAATCTTCTTTACAAATAATAGCCTAATGCTGCAAATTACAGATGGACATAGGTCCAGGAAACATATGCTGATCGAATCACACAGTGAATTCTTTATAAATAGACAGACAGCAATACAAACCTGACCGTGTTTCAAACCATTTCCTGCCATTTCTGACCTGTTCTTCCTTTATTACTTGTTTATACATTAAAGGCATCGCTAGGCAACTAATATTATTTTACACAGCAATGACAACCTCATATTTCTGTCAACTAAGGTTGTTACCTTTTATTAGAAAACATCCTTATGTTAATGTTTCCTATCAAAAACATTGACAACAAGTCCAATTTTAACCCATCAGGCTGGTGAAATACTGACCATGGTTCCTATTAATAAGATGGAATGGGGTAATGTGAGAATGAGATGGAAATCCTTTTGTTGAATCACATTAAATTGTAATGTGTGTAATAAGTTTCTAATTATAGAGTTAGATTACAGTAAAGTTACATCAAATATTGACAAAACATTAGAAATGATCAAATCATTTGGTAGATCTTGTATACAATAATCCTCTCTCTTTTGTTTTTAATTTGACCGTTTTTGAAATTCTGATGAAGCAGAAAAAATAGGGTGTGTGTGGGGTAGTATACCGACCTCAATAATCTCAGACCAATCTCCTTACTCCCATTCACCTCCAAACTCCTAGAACGCCTCATCTACAGCCACCTAAGTCGCCACCTCGCTGATCACAACCTTCTTGGCCCCTTACAATCTGGCTTTCACCCCCTACACTCCACTGAAACCGCCCTCCTAAAACTCACTAATGACCTACTCACTGCTAAAAGCAAAGGCCATTATTCCCTACTCTTGCTATTAGATCTTTCTGCTGCTTTTGACACTGTTGACCACCTGCTCCTCCTAAAAAAACTCCAGTCACTTGGGCTACAGACGCCCGATGGCTTGAATGTAAAGTTCCCGGCCGGCCGTGTAATTACAACGCCTGGCCGGGAAGCTGCTCGTCGGGCTCTGCCGTCCGCTCGTCTGTGACGAGAGTGGATTTTTCAAGCCCTGTGTGTGTGTGTGTATATATATACATACATACATACATACATACATACATACATACATACATACATACACATTAGGGATGTCCCGATACCCGGCATTTTCATGCGTACTCGTGAAAGTGCCCAAATTCTAAAGGCCACTACCAGCCCTTAAATTTTTACACCAGATCGGCTGCCTGAGGACCTTAGGCAGCCTGCTGGGGTCCTCAGGCAGCTGTCTTTGGCAGTGCCTGTCTGCCCCAATCTCCTCCTCGTTTCTGATGCTGGCATAGCTAAGTACAGCCCCGGAGCCAACACAGGGCCAGCATCCACCTGTTCTGGCTGACACCCACACGCAACCCTGGTGAGACCCGCATGCAGCCCTGTATAATTGCTGTTAAATCATGGATTGATGGGATGGGTAGTCCTCTATTGCTGGTTGCCATTCTCCATTGAATAATCTTTGTTTGAGTTACAGTTCTTCACAATTATAAAGAAACTGCCCTAAAATAATTAGTTTGTATTGTTTTAGAAAAAATGCCACGTCCCTTTTAAGAAAAAGTATCGGTAATTGGTATCGGCAGTACCTGAGGGAAAGTACTTGGTCTTGAAAAAATGCTACAAGGACATCCCTAAAATATAGTTGTGTGTGTGTACAGTACGAGCACACACAAACACACACACATATTATATGGCAGCTAAATGTCCATAGAGTAATTCCAGGTTGAACGTCCAATTTAAGTCCTACATGCACATCTTCTGTTATGTTGAACATGCTCAGTGAGTTAGGGGAAAGGTGGGGTAGCACTGTATATCAGCATTTAATTAATTCATTAAAATTTATGTAACAGTTTTAGGAAATATTCCTGTAGGGGGGAGGTCACTGTTATAAATTGGATGTTAGCGTCTTTGTTACTGGTGCTGTTATCCAACACTTACCAAAATATTTTATTATTTTCATTAGATTTTCTTCGAAAGGTCTATAGCATTTTGTCTGTACAAATTCTTCTGACCACTGTGACAGCTGCAGTATTCCTCTATTTTGACTCCATCAAGACATTTGTTCATGAAAGGTAGGAAAGTGTCTTTGTCTACATGAATGTGAATTGCATAGCTGCAAGTGTGTCAAAATTACTACTGTAGATGACAAAGTTAAAGATTGCCTTTACCGTGGTTCGAATACACAGCTGTCTTAAGCACTTTATCATGTGTTGCTATGCCGTTAAAAGAACCTGATCTGTGGAAGCTGTGCCCAGTATAGGTAAGCAGAGGGCAAAGTACAAGTCATCTATATTACTACTAAATTGCTAGCAGTAGATATATATCCAAAAAAACGGAGGCTTTAATGATACTTTAAGAAGAAGAGTGTCAAGATCGCACTTTTTTGCAATATTTTATATGATGATTTCGTTCTATTGCTGTATATTTCTGCATGAACTCATTCTATTGCTGTATATTTCTGCATGAACTCATTTATTTATTGAATCCCCTTCCTAAAGTAATAACATTAGCTCACAAAGCAGCAATACTGATTTATTTATTTATTGATGTATTTATTTGTGTAAGAGATAACAAGTTAAACCCAGTTTAAGCATTTTCTTTTGTTTCTTTTCTTTTTATTGCTAGCCCTGCTTTACTTTTACTTTGTGCCATTGGGTCACTGGGTTCAATTATCGCCCTGACCATCTACAGACATAAACATCCAGTGAACCTGTACCTGTTGTTTGGATTTGTAAGTTTTTATCTCATTTTAAATATGTCTGTAGTGGAAGATGAACGTTAATATGAATTTGGGAGTCAGAGTTTTTGGTTTTTTTAATCAGATTTTTTTAAAATTGTTTTTTCAAAATACAAAGAAAAAAAAAAAAGGAAAGCAAAAGTGAAAAGGAGGTGTACATTTGCAGAACAATCGCCACTTGTCAAACAGTACAAAAGTATTATGTATACTTTATACCTCTCGCAACTCATAGCTGCTGGTGTATGCCCTAGCAGTACAAACATACAGAGTAGACCCCAGAATATGGTACATATACAGACTGTTCCCTCAGGCGCCACCTGTCCAAGGTAAGAAAGCCAGTTAGACCACATAGAAGCAAATTTTTTCATGTTACCTCTCTGCTGAAAAGTGATACGTTCATAGTCAATCATTCTATCCAATTCACTAAGCCACAGTTCCAGTGTGGGGGGAGAAGTGGAGACCCACTTACGCACCACCAGCCTTGACGCAGTGAATAGTGCTCGTTTAATGGCCATAGTCGTACAGGAGGTTAAATCCGGTACATCAATAATGCCCAGGATGCAAACAAGTGGAAAATTAGGTAGTGAGGATTCAAAAACGGGGTTAATGATGTCCAAGACCTCGTCCCAGTCCCTTACTAGCTTAGGGCATCTCCATAGTAAATGAATTAAAGAACCTCGGGGAGAGTTGCACTTCAGGCAAATAAGGTCAGCCCTGTACCCAATACGAAACAGACATTCAGGTCTACGATATATTCTGTGGATAATGCACAATTGCGTCAACCTATGAGTGGGTGACAGCGAGACTTGTTCAACCCCTTGGAGTGGGAGTCAGAGTTTTTAAATGAGAACAACAAATCTATTTGAGCGACATGTGTGAGATAAATGTGTAAAAACATAATGAGCTGTATAACCTCAAATGTTAGGGTTCATATGTGGCTTATATATTGTATATAAGTAATAGCATTCAGTGGCAGGTTGTGTAATACTAATGACTACTAAAATGTCAAGGTTAAACCAGAAAATCCTACTAATGGGTGCCTGATCCTGATGCAATTTAGGTTAACAAACATCTTAAAATGTTCTGATGACTGATGAGAATTATGCTTCATGGTTTCAGTTTCAGGATATTCACTGATAATTCAAAGTGTCTGTATTTACAAAAAAAAAAAAAGTTCTAACAGTTTAAACATTTACCAATCTTCAGAAACTGTTTGGAAACGTGTGAATTTAATAACTGTTTAATCTCTATTTCACAGACTGTATTAGAAGCTGTTACTGTTGGAATTGCAGGTAACTATTATCCTGTCTAGCTTATGAACTATGCCTGTGTGATTTTTGTTTTTTTTATATACGCACTGTATCTTCATGTTTTGCTTTTTGGATTTGTACTCTAATTTCTATACTTGTATGTAAAAAGTGAAAAGGAGGTGTACATTTGCAGAACAATCGCCACTTGTCAAACAGTACAAAAGTATTATGTATACTTTATACCTCTCGCAACTCATAGCTGCTGGTGTATGCCCTAGCAGTACAAACATACAGAGTAGACCCCAGAATATGGTACATATACAGACTGTTCCCTCAGGCGCCACCTGTCCAAGGTAAGAAAGCCAGTTAGACCACATAGAAGCAAATTTTTTCATGTTACCTCTCTGCTGAAAAGTGATACGTTCATAGTCAATCATTCTATCCAATTCACTAAGCCACAGTTCCAGTGTGGGGGGAGAAGTGGAGACCCACTTACGCACCACCAGCCTTGACGCAGTGAATAGTGCTCGTTTAATGGCCATAGTCGTACAGGAGGTTAAATCCGGTACATCAATAATGCCCAGGATGCAAACAAGTGGAAAATTAGGTAGTGAGGATTCAAAAACGGGGTTAATGATGTCCAAGACCTCGTCCCAGTCCCTTACTAGCTTAGGGCATCTCCATAGTAAATGAATTAAAGAACCTCGGGGAGAGTTGCACTTCAGGCAAATAAGGTCAGCCCTGTACCCAATACGAAACAGACATTCAGGTCTACGATATATTCTGTGGATAATGCACAATTGCGTCAACCTATGAGTGGGTGACAGCGAGACTTGTTCAACCCCTTGGAGTGGGAGTCAGAGTTTTTAAATGAGAACAACAAATCTATTTGAGCGACATGTGTGAGATAAATGTGTAAAAACATAATGAGCTGTATAACCTCAAATGTTAGGGTTCATATGTGGCTTATATATTGTATATAAGTAATAGCATTCAGTGGCAGGTTGTGTAATACTAATGACTACTAAAATGTCAAGGTTAAACCAGAAAATCCTACTAATGGGTGCCTGATCCTGATGCAATTTAGGTTAACAAACATCTTAAAATGTTCTGATGACTGATGAGAATTATGCTTCATGGTTTCAGTTTCAGGATATTCACTGATAATTCAAAGTGTCTGTATTTACAAAAAAAAAAAAAGTTCTAACAGTTTAAACATTTACCAATCTTCAGAAACTGTTTGGAAACGTGTGAATTTAATAACTGTTTAATCTCTATTTCACAGACTGTATTAGAAGCTGTTACTGTTGGAATTGCAGGTAACTATTATCCTGTCTAGCTTATGAACTATGCCTGTGTGATTTTTGTTTTTTTTATATACGCACTGTATCTTCATGTTTTGCTTTTTGGATTTGTACTCTAATTTCTATACTTGTATGTATTTTCAGTGACCTTCTATGAAGTGGCTGTGGTTCTACAGGCATTTATATTGACCAGTGCTGTGTTCCTTGGCCTTACTGTTTACACATTCCAGAGCAGGAGAGACTTCAACAAGTTTGGGGCTGGGTATGTTTGTCTGCAGACACTTTAGTTGTTTGTATACACTGTTAATTATGCTTCTAAAACAGAACATGTAAAGCTGGTTTTATGAGTTTTATGAGTTTTATGTCTTTTTTGTTTATCCAATTTAGTAAATCTTATACTAGCCATAAACACTACAATATCAGTAATATTACTGAATATTTAACGGCATGTGCACTTTACTAGTTATGTTATTACATTAGCTTTACCAAAACCAGCTCCTATCGACCACTAAACTGGCCACATATGTTACAATCTGATTGTGTTATCTGCTTTATATTTACCAAAAACTATGCAGTGTGAGATCCCACCTAAATGGATATACATAGATGCTGGTAAATCTAAGGAGCTTGTAATGTACAGGTATGTAGCCAGCATAACACTACAGGGTAGAAAAAGGTAGGAAGGTAGTCGATAATAGCAGGAGGTAGTAGCAGTAGTTCCTTCACATGCCTCCAATATTATACCATGGTAGTGCATTAGTACAAAGCTGCTGGGCTTTATGGGATTGGACAATGTTATGCTTTTTGCTGCTATGCTGCACATATACTGTATATGTACAGTAACTGTATACCTAGTATTGATTAGAACAAAAAAAAAAAGTGGCTTGGATAAACTGCATAATGTCTTTAACGTTACACAACAGGTTCAGTGGAATGTGACTAACCACTACTAGCTATTCCATGGCCTGGATATATAGGAACCTTCACAGACATACTAACTGTATTTTTTACTTTTGTAGGCTCTTTGCTGGATTATGGATTTTGATCCTTGCGGGATTTCTTAGGGTAAGCTTCACTTTTCGTTTTTTTTGTAAGAAAAGGAAAGAAGGGGACACTGACCATTGCTGCTGGTGTTTAGGGGTAAAAAATAAGCAGATTTTCAACCTGCCACGTCAATGTTACAACCCACAGTGGGTGGTTGAGGATCTCCTCACAGACACCAGATTGTGAGGATCAGGTGACTGCCTTCTCATGTTTGGTGGTTCTTTTTAAGTATCCGGTGCTTTTATTGCTCCTTCCTGGGCTAGGATATATCACTAGTATGTCTAAAAGTGCTGTTAGTATAAGCTGATGTGCACCTTTCCTGAAATAAGGGCCATAATAGCTAACAGTATTGTATTCTGATAACTTCAGTATATACTATATATTAGTAGTGCTCAGTAGTTGCCGCAAGCGTTAACATGGACACTGAGAGTTTTTACGGGATTTGTAAACCATCTGAATAAAGCTATATTAAAGCCAAGAACAAAAGGTAAGCAGCTTACAAGTTCTTAGATGTGGTGACTGCATTCATTTTTGTTTTTCATGCTAAGAACACTTTCAGCAAGTACAGAAAATGTATGTTGATCTTACCAGAAATACAGTGTCTTTGTCACTTCCTTTGAAATGAACTGGATGGATGAAACAATATTTTCTTATTTGTTTAAACTACTAGCCCCATCACCTTTTTTCATAGAGATCTAGAATGGCAGACATGTTTGAAGTGCAGCCTGGGTGGCAACCATGGCTCCCTCTATAGATGCAATGGAGGAGTGAACAGGAAATGTGCCTATTTGTAGGATCACCAGGTCAAAATAAAGAAAAAGAGGCCAGCACATCTAGGGACTAGTATGCTGCAGTATATTCAGTTATGATTTTTGGGGTTAGATGTGCTTCAACCTCCTTGGCGGTATTCCCGAGTGTGGCTCGGGGTTAATTTTCAGTACCATAAGCGGTAGCCCCGAGCCACACTCGGGAATACACAACGCATCTCTTACCTTGTCCCTCGAGCCACACTGTGTACTCCGGCCGATGCCGGCATCCGTCTTCCCGGGTTCCGTCCCTTGCGAGCGTCCGCAAAGGAAAAAGAAAAAATCATACCGCCAGGGAGGTTAAGATGACCCTTGTATGTGCCCCCGACAATGTTATAGTTTGTTCCAACTCCTGTCAATGTCCACTGAAAATGTGAAGATTATAAAAGGCATGTGAAACAGAAAAATAATATATACTGAATGCTATTGTTAAATGTATTAACTGCATAGAGTTATCAAAACGGAGTATTTTTTGCTATTAGTGGTTTCCGTTGGGTATTTATTTTTTATTTTGTGGTTTGAAGCCGTGTTGGAACGATTTCTCCCCACTTCTTGTAGGGAGGGAGACAAGGAAAATATTCATTGGACACACAAACCAAAAAGCCAACATGAGTCATAGCCTTCCTATAAAATACTAAAACAAGAAAGGTGTCTTTATTGCAGACTGTGTCCCTATTTTTCCCCGACTTCCTGTCCTGGTAACAATGTTGTTACCAAGACAAAAAAGTCAGGGAAATTTTTCCCAGTGGAGCCCTATAGAGCAGTAAACTTTTCTAGTTATCACTGTTTCCTAAATGTATCTTTCAGCGTAAGAATTGTTTTAGTGTTTAATTCTTTTGTGGTCATTGTAATACTCGCTCTTTGTATTTCTTTTTGCAGTTTTTCTTTTATAGCGAGACTATGGAGATAGTGATGGCTGCTGGTGGAGCTTTGCTATTCTGTGGATTCATCATCTATGATACTCATTTGCTGATGCACAAACTGTCCCCAGAGGAGTACGTTCTCGCTTCCATCAACCTCTATCTTGATATCATCAATCTCTTCCTTCACCTTTTACGCTTACTAGAGGCCATAAACAGAAAATAACCTACAAAAGTCAATTCAATTAATGCAGTTTTAATGATTCCATTTATGTTTAGACAAACATGCTGTTTTATCAGTATTCATACTTTGGAGATTTATTGCAGGCTTTATTTAGAGATTTCCGGATAAAACAGACCAGGTGGCGCAATAGCAGTGAACAGAAGAGTTAAATATATCATCTTTAAAAAAAATCAAAATGCATTCAGTCTGCATAGTTTCAGTTTATACCTCCTAGGCAGTTTTGCACTTTTCCTATTGCAGCTGTACTGCAATATAAATTTATTCATGCTGGTTTCGGAGAATATATTATATCACAACAATTTTCTGCTATTGTTTATTTCTTTAGTGAAAATATCAATATATTTTTCAGGACATTCGATGTGGGAAATTTGCATAACACACTGTATTAACCTCTTGCCGTCCGCCCGTAGTAAAAAAACGGACGGACGGCACTGCTGCATTTGCGGGTTGTGTCTCCAGACGGCAATTTTTTTCTGCTCGCGCGCGCCCCCTAGCGGGCACGCACGGGCAGAAAAGACCCGACCATGGCACACACCCGTTACCGGGTGTTTCACATATAGGCGATCAGCGGGTCCATAGCCCGCCGATCGCCTATATGTGCTCGTTCGCGGCTCCCCCCGCCTAGAGGTCATAGAGACCCCTAATGTCTCCATAAAGAGGACCTGTCAGTGTGCCTTTGCTATTATATAGGGGGATTGTTATCCCCCTATATAATAACAATAAGTGCAAAAAAATTTATATAAATAAAAAAAAATAAAAGTAACACATAAAAAAGTAAAATAAAATAAAAGTCACATATAAAAAAAGGGGAAAAAA